CAACGAAACACAGTGCAGCCCAGGTGACACATTAGAATCACTGGGAAGGTTTTTTTAAAGCTGTCAAAACCTAGATCCCTCCTTTACCGAGCCTGATGGCATTGGCCAAGGGGCATTGTCTCCCCTCCCCGACCCAGAAAAGCTCCCCAGGTGATTCTAATGTATAGCCAGGATAGGGCACTATGTGGCAAGGGAGGGGGAGGAGTGTAGCAAGAAGACTAAAGAGAGAAAAGGAAAGAGTGGAAATCAACCAATTACTATTTGGAATTATTCTGCTACATCAGCTATTAGCTAAGTGGGGTTAGTTATTGCCTGCTATACCCAAAACCCTGTTGAAAGGGCCTGCATTAGAGAAGCTAGTGGGGAGGTGAAAGAATAATACTCTATTCCCTGTTATTCAAAGCATGCTCCTTAGACTAGCATCCTAGGCACTATCTGGGAGCTGGTTAGAAATGCAAGTCTCAGGCCCCAGCCCAGACCCTGGGCATCTCCAAAGTAGTGCTCTGGCTGCTATCTCGATAAAGCACACTCTGGGAGGAGGAAGAAGGTCTGCAACTGAGTGTTTTTTGTTGTTGTTGTTGTTTTTAAAATATATTTTATTGATTTTTTACAGAGAGGAAGGGAGAGGGATAAAGAGTTAGAAACATTGATGGGAGAGAAACATCAATCAGCTGCCTCCTGTACACCTCCTACTGGGGATGTGCCCGAAACCAAGGTACATGCCCTTGACCAGAATCGAACCTGGGACCTTTCAGTCTGCAGGCCGACGCTCCATCCACTGAGCCAAACTGGTTAGGGCTGCAACTGAGTTTTTAAGTTCCAGAGTTTTCTGGAAAGCTTCATTCACCTTTGAGGGAACAGCAAATATTCACACAAGGAGTGTGGCTGTGGACAGAGAGACAAAATGAATACAGCTTTGGGTAAGTTTTTGGAGTGAGAAGTGATCGAGCAACAATTAAAACTCAGCTCACATATGTCTCTACTTTCCTTTTATTTTTTAATTCCTTTTTTAAAATATTTTTTTATTGATTTCAGAGAAGAAGGGACAGGGAGAGATAAAAACATCAATGATGAGAGAGAATCATTGATCAACCACCTCCTGCATGCAAGCCTGCAACCCAGGCATATGGCCTGACTAGGAATCGAACCAGGACCTCCTGGTCCAAAGGTTGATGCTCAACCACTGAGCCACGCTGGCCGGCCCTCTCTATTTTCCTTTTAAATGAAAAGAAAATCCTCAGTTCCTTAAAGGTCTGGAACATCTTTTTCTTGCTCAAAAGATGATAGAAGTAGATTAGTTCACTTCAACACCGGTCCTGGGGAAATTACTTTTTGTGGCTTAGTCCATGTATGTGTAAAGCTTTTGAAAATGTGTTCGCTTTTTTCCTGATTATAATCTAATTCATAGAAAAATATAAAACACTGCAGAAGTATATTATGGAAAGAATAGGTAGTCTCTGTAACTACCTCCATTCCCTCAGAGATAATCACTGATAAAAGTCCAGTGAGCAGAAGTCCAGACCTCTTTTTCTTCATGTATACTAACAAGTGCACAAAAGTTGGATCACAACACAATGCTGGAATTAGTGAGGGATGTGAGGGATGACTAAATGACTGAATAGCAGGCTGCATGGGGTGACCAGGCTGGCATGGGGAGCAGTGATGGGTGACCAGGCTGGGGGGGGGCAGTTGGGGGCAACCTGGCCGGCAAGCAGAGGCGGTTAGGGGTGATCAGGCTGGCGGGGGGGGGGGCAGTTAGGGTTGATCAGGCAGGCAGCAGATGAGCAGTTAGAAGCCAGCGGTCCTGAATTGTGAATGGGATGTCCGACTGCCAGTTTAGTCCCGATCCCCAGGATCGGGCCTAAACCGTCAGTTGGACACCCCCGAGGGGTCTTGGATTGGAGAGGGTGCAAGCTGGGCTGAGGGGAACCCCCCCTGTGCACAAATTTTGTGCACTGGGCCTCTAGTATTATGAATAAGCATCAGGATTTGTTATGAGTGAAATGATGACCTCATTCGTCCTCATACAAGTGAGCCAAATATGATTATGGCCATCTGGGTCCACAAAAAAATGTTCTGTTATAACTGAGGACTACTGAAGCATATACATTCACATAAAAACTGCGTGAAGCAAGGTTTCCTGAGGGGGTAACTTTGACATGGGTCTTGATGTAATGGATATGGGTACAAAGAGTGAGGCAGAATCCAGAGGGGGAAAAGTGGGGAAGCAGGCCCACACCTAGAGAGCTGAGGAGGAGGCGGGGTGTGCTGAGAATGGCGGATGCCAACAGGACTGGGAGATCATTTGCTGGGCACTCTTGACCACTGAGCTGAGTCTGAGTTCTCACTGAAAGGCAGTAAGGAGCTTCCTAAGGAAAGATGAGGTGAAGCAGAGGTGTTGAAAGACTGGCCAGGTGGACTGGAGTAGGAAAGCCTAAAACACGAAGATTCGGTTGTGGTAATCCTGGTGAGGAGATAAAACTACAAATAGTGAGAGGCGGTAGAACTGAGAAGGAACGAGGGAGCAGTTGAGATCTTGCTCCCTGGCATATGTCGTCAGTTTGGCTCAAATAAACTCTTCTTTAAAAAAAATTTTTTTTAAAGGAACAAAAGTGAGAATAGTAGTGAAAAGTGAGGAAGAAGACAAAGAACACTTTTTAAAAGACTTTATTTACTTCTCATTTGAGCAACACGTGTACACTGTTGAACACTTGGAAAATATAGAGAAAGAATAAGAAGCGGTCTTTATAAACCCACCACTCAAGTATAACAACTGTGAGCCTCTGAATGCTATATTTGAGGATGAGAGGAGAATGGGTTCTGTATTTTCACCACCGCCAGGCAAATAATTCAGCTTGCAGCTGTCAGCTGTATCCAGTCAGCTGTCTGGCAAGCTGAGTCCTCTGCTGGGGACAGAGAGCTTCTAAGAATGTTTCTCCTGACCGTCCATCCTAAACTTCCTGCCCAGTGCCCTGTTAGTGGTTTTAATTAACTTATCTTCAGAAGGTACCCCGTTGGGTGGATGGATACCTGGCTTTCCCATCCCAGAAAGGAGGTCTGGTTCTACCTTAGCCTGGCCCACTTTTGCCCACAAGTAAGTTGGCTATGGGAAAGAGGAAGGGAATTCTCCTAAAATCTTGAAACTCAAATATTCTCTTCTCTTACCTCAACCTCTCTCCATCCCAGTTCCTGCCTTCTCATTGGGACTTCTGGACGCTGAATTCTCCAGTTTTTCCTGTGCCTCTGCTCTCTCACATGCCATGGTTAATCATCTGAACTCTCTCTCACTGTCAGCTTTGGTTGCCTTTGATCCTGGCCCTTATTTTATCTGCCTGGCAAAACTGAAAACTAAGATGAATGTTCCCATTCATCCCTGCTATTATACTTATGCAGCTTAGTGCTGCTGGAAGGAAGCATGGAAGGTATAAATTGGAGCCACAATAGATGTGCCGTCTCAGAGTTCAGCCAGGCCTTCACTGCCGGCCACCAATGTTTTCCCTTGGTCTCCTGTTTCCCCTTAATAATTATAAATGTCATCCTTATTCCTTCCTCCTGCTTTCCTCCAGTCTCAGGAGATCAATAGATCCCCCCTCAAAAATGTATACACACACTTTGAATAATTATAAAAGTAGTGTTCATTAAAATACATTTCATTTTCAAAATTGAGCTATCAGCTGTTATAGTGTGTATACATTTGGGGGCAGGGGACACCCAGTTATAATATACTAGAGGCCCGGTGCACGGATTCATGCACCGGTGGGGTCCCTCAGCCTGGCCTATGGGGATCAGGCCGAAATCGGCAGTCCGACATCCCCCAAGGGATCCTGGATTGCGAGAGGGCACAGGACAGGCCGAGGGACCCCACTGGTGCACAATCGGGGCTGGGGAGGGATCGTGGGAGGGCTCCAGGGTGTGTCTGGCCCATCTCGCCCAGTCCTGATTGGCCAGACCCCAGCAGCAAGCTAAACTACCAGCCCAAGCGTCTACCCCCTGGTGGTCAGTGCGCATCATAGCGACTGGTCAAATGGTCAGACACTTAGCATATTAGGCTTTTATTATATAGGATAGGCAATAGACAGACTCAGTTAAGGTAAAGTGTCTTTCTCATAGATGCAAAAAGACAACAGACAAGCTCAGTTAAGGTAAAGATTGACCCTTGTCATGGAAGATACTGGCCAAGGACATGACTACCCTCCATGACTCACTATTAGTTAGGAAGTTTTAATTTAGACCATCCTATGTGGTTACTTTAGGTCTCTGAGTTTGTAAGCCCTGACATGCAGGCCTCCCCTGAGCTTGTCAGGTTTAATATGTGGCTCCCCCCTCCCCTTTTTAAAATTTTTTAAAAATTGATTTTAGAGCGAGAGGAAAAGAGAGATAGAAACACCTACTAATGGGGATGGAGCTAGAAACCTGGGCATGTGCTGGGAATCGACCTGGGACCTCCTGGTACATGGGTTGACGCTCAACCACTGAGCCACACAGGCTGGGCTATGTGGCCCCGTTTTGGTCCACACGGCTCAAGTACTTTCTGGAATACCTCTCCATTTGGATTTGGCAGATGTTTTCTTTTGATTAGACTGGGGGAATGAATTTACGGGGGAAATTCCACAGAGATGAAGTGACTTTCTCATTGCATCATATGAGGGGGTAAATGATATCAAAAGGACTTATTACTTATTACTGATGGTGTTAACCTCGACCACTTGGTTAAGGTGGTGTCTGCATTTCTCTCCTGTAAAAATTACTATTTTCCTTTTCCACATGTCGTTGTTGAGAAGCCTATCACTAAATCCAGCACACACGCTCAAGGGGAGGGAGGAGTCAAGCTTCACCTCCTGGAGGAAGGTGTATCAAAGATTTTGTGGCCACATTAAAACTACAACAAATATCTGGGGGGATATACTTTGAATCTGTGTAAGTATCCTGTTCTTTTCTAACGTTTCACTTGCTACTTTTAGCATTTAGCACCAACAATTTATTTTATTACTTTATTTTAGACAGAGAGAGAGAGAGAGAGGAACATTAATCTGTTGTTCCATCTGTCGTGGGTGGCAGGAACGGCACAGGTGCTAGACTAGTGGGGTCATACTGGACCTGGGGTCAGCAACCTCTGTACTTGCGTCTTGCTAGGAAAGAATTCATAGACTCAAACTATAAGAGAACATTTATTTGGAAAATCACAGAGGTAGAAGAAATGGGCTTAGGAAATAAATTATAGAGGTAAAGGGAGGCGCTTGGAGCTTGGGAGTGAGAAAGCTAATGGTTATGTGCCTGGGGGGATGGGAAGGAGGAGAGGGGAGGGAAAGGTGCTGCTGGAGTGCTCTGGGGAGGGAGAGTGTCCTGGGTCCCCCATCCTAAGGGTTTTAGGGTGGAGATTTTAGGGGAGGGCCCAGGGGAAGGTCTCAATAGAATATTCAGTAGCTTTCCAGGTGGGTCCTTTCATGGTCTAGGTCTCCACTGATTGATTGGTTGGCTCTGCTAGGTTTGATCAAACAATTGAATCAATACCCCTCCCCTAAGAACTGACTTTGCAGGCCATTTCACGATGGACAATCCCTTTTGCTGAGAGCCACTTTACTTGCCGAGACCACATTCCATTATCTCTCCCCACTGGATCTGCACAGAGAATTCTCCACCCAGAAAAAGCCCGCCAAAAGTCCTTTAAAAACCACTGACTCCCATCACTGGGTGCTGGAGCCATCTGGGGCTCAGCCACCTGGTGCGGATGAGCAAATAAATTCGTAATCCCTCACCATTCTGGCCTCCTGCATTCCTCCTTCGGTGACCTATCAGGCTCCAGTGGGCCATTATCCAATGCGGTTGGTCCTGAGGTCAACAGTGGCATTGCTTGTCTGGTTTTGCTGCTTTCCTGGGCCTGGATCTGAAATACAACCGAGGCCTCTATCTCTAGAGAAGGTCAGGGGGTCCAAACCGCATGACCAGCGATATGCTAGGGGAGGGGAGGTCACCCTGGGGGCAAGGTCCCACCCTACATTTGTCCTTTGGCACCCAGGGCTTTTCAGCCTGGTGACCTTCTGTACCTGGCACATCGTCCTTGCTCTGGTCACGTCCGTCTAACTGCCTACGACACACCTATCTATGCACTCATTAGCTGATTCTTGTATGTGCCCTGACCTGCAACTTTGTCTGGTCAGGACGAAGCTCTAACTAACTGAGCTACCTGGCCAGGGCCCAACATTTAAAAAAAAAAAATCTACAACTGATAGGTAATTCAGTTAGGTCCTCCTTCAGTTTTGTCAAAAACCCACTGAGAAATCAAATATCTACAAATTTTCATTTGTGTGCCTGGCGTCCCAGACGTCTGTACACCCTGGGACAATACATCACAGTAAGATTGGATGCAGGATTGGAGAGAAGTAGGCCTTTTATTTGTAAAGTGGGACAAAGGCTTATCCTTGGGCAATTTTTTTAGGAATTAGGTTGTAAACACTGATTTCCTGAAAACTGTCCTGGTCTGACTACTTATAGGGTTTGTATTGTTCTGTTTGCAGACCTTGGCTCTGAATGATTCCACTCCAATGACTCCACCTACCAACGCTGTAGCTGATTCCTCACGTTCTTACCTTTAGACTATACCGGTCCCTTTCTCTAAGGACCAAGATTCTCCAAACTCTTCAGCCTCCCAGCACCTGGCTCCCTAACTTCCCAGCTTCATTTTCCTCCCCTTACACTAGTGCGCGGCTTGCAGCTTCTAGAACACACAGCGCGTCTTGCCTCTCCCGCCTGGATGCTCCCTCCACACCCCCTCCCTGGCCCTCACCTCCTAGCTGAGGCTTTCGGTTCAGACTGTCTAGGGCAGTGGTTCTCAACCTTCTGGCCCTTTAAATACAGTTCCTCACGTTGTGACCCAACCATAAAATTATTTTCGTTGCTACTTCATAACTGTCATTTTGCTACTGTTATGAATCGTAATGTAAATATCTGATATGCAGGATGGTCTTAGGCGACCCCTGTGAAAGGGTCGTTCGACCGCCAAAGGGGTCGCGACCCACAGGTTGAGAACCGCTGGTCTAGGGCTATGCCCCCCGTGTCTAGAGGCCGCTCGGACACGTGCGCAAAGTGGCAGATTGTTAGGGCAGTAAACAAACTCCTTCCAGGACGGAGCAGCCAGTGCTCGTCTTCTGGAAGACATTTCCCACATTTAAAGGTGAGAAACGTTTGCAACGCACACCACAGCGTCCCAGTCTGCAGGCACCAGTGCTCTCAAGGCATCTCACCTGCGCGGTTATTTCTCGTTTTAGCCACGAATATGCGCAGCATGCGCCCCCGGAATGGAGTAAGTGCTGGAGGAACCCCACTCATCAGTCAGCCTCCTTAGCCTTCACCTAACTTTGCGGGTGGCTCTCCCAGCCCCGAGGCCCCGCCCACTTCTGTCGGTCCCGGGACCTTAAAGTGGGCCGGGAGCGCGCCTGACTCAGGCAGCCAGGGGACCCACCGAGGGCCTTTACTATTTGAAGATTACAGGGGCCGTCAGCAGCTCGCGCGAGACGGAGCGCGTATTCTCGCGAGAAGTCTAGGAGGCGGCCGTGATGGCGGCGGCGGGAACTGGACCCGGACCCGGAGTGGGTGCAGGACCTGGCCCAGCAGCGGCCGCAAATGCAACAGCGACGGAGGAAGGGGAGACGAAGCCGGCGGTAGCGGTCGCAGCCGCTCCAGCCGGAGAGGGGACCTCTGCTGCTCCAGCAGCGGAGCCCGGCTCCGGAGAGGCCGAAAGCGGGTAAGACGTCGAGCAGTCATCGGAGGACGCGGGGAGGGAGGCCCGCCCCCCCTGGAATCCCGCGGCTCCCGGGAGTCCTCCCGCCCGCCCCTTCCGAACCTGGGCCCTGCCGCCAACGGCTCGCCCTGCCCCCTTCGGCACCGTAGTCCCACCCGCCGCTTGGCCCGTCCCCTCTGAATTGGATCTCGGGCTACGCCCCTTCCCGCACCTTTTAAGGTCTGTGAGAGCCTACTCCGGTCTCTGGTCCTTGCACCCACCCCGGCCCGGGGCTGGTAACGCCGTCTTCTAGCAGGAACCCCTCAACTACCCCAGAGAAGAAGCCACTTTGACTTGCCAGGCTGGGCGAAGTGGCGGCCCCGCTGAAACGGAGTGGGGGCGCTGCACGTCTGCGAACCTCCCCGGGACCAGTGGACTGGTTAGTGGGGCTGATCCCACCCCATGTGTCCGGACTGGTCTGTGGGGCTAATTCCACCCCATGTGGACTGGTCTGTGGGGCTGAGCTGATTCCACCCCATGTGGACTGGTCTGTGGGGCTGGTTCCACCCCATGTGGACTGGTCTGTGGGGCTGATTATTAGGCTTCCCTGTGCCCACGGGCCTGCGTCTGTCGGAGCCACATTCTCCTAACCCAGGGCATCCAGCCTGAGAACGGGCTTAGAGAAAAAGCGGAGGGTGCATTTGATCATTACCTCTGGGATACTAGGCGTTTTGAGGTTTGTTTCTCTTGAAAAGTTTTACCTGAGTGCTTTCTTTGTCTTACAGGGATGCGAACTCTGTTGATGTAAGCGGTGGTTTGGAGACAGAATCCTCTAATGGAAAAGATACACTAGTAAGTATTTATGAATGTTTGCATGGCAAAATAAGGTGGTTTTTTTGTTTTTGTGTGTTGTTTTTTGTTTTAGTTTTTAAGTGAGTCAAAAATACAATAGGTCAACTAACTTGATTCCCTAATTGCGCTCCGGACACAGGAAGGTGCTGGGGATACTTCTGAGGCGATGGATACTCAAGCGGGCTCCGTGGATGAAGAGAATGGCCGGCAGCTGGGAGAGGTAGAGCTGCAGTGTGGGATATGTACCAAGTGGTTCACAGCAGACACCTTTGGCATAGATACCTCGTGAGTATTTTTGTAGTTTTGTAAGAATCGCTTTGTGAAACAGATCTCAACATGTCCAACCGTTTAGTAGGTTGTAGGCAAATATAAATGTATATAGCTTTTTCCAGTGTCTTCTAACCATTGTGCAGTGAGTGGTAGGATTTGAATCAGGAGTTGTTTTAATACCCTGAGCAATGTTTTCTACCTACTGAGCACAGCCCTAAAGAGGTACAGTGATATATATATTTTCTCTGATTTTGAGTTTGTAATCATTTTGAGACAAAACCATGCAATTACAAAGTATTATATAAACAGAATTGAAACAGTATCCTTTAAATCTTGTATTGGGTGTTGTGGATTTGGGGGAAAGGGTTGCTATACATGGTGGACAAAGCATGATGTCCGAAATTGGAGATGACCCTTCATGCCTCAGCCATCCTCATTAAGCTTTTGCTTCTAACTCACTCCCTTTAGATATCCTGAGTTCTCCCATCAGCAAAACCTATTTTTAATTTTTCGCCTTTTTTAGGGAATTAAAATCATTTTATGGTGGATTGAGATTGAGAGGCTTCTTTCCTTATCAACATCTAGCAAGTGACAATTACTGACTCACTGTCTATGGTAATGATTGTTTTGCTGGCTCTCTGTTCCATATGGTCCCTATAATACAAGTAAATTTAGACAAGTTTATCTCAAATTAAGGCTGCATTAATAAATTAATTTCTTTGGGTGGGATTGTGAAGAAATACCCTCATTTGTAATTTGTTGAACGCTTGCTAGTTAAAAAGCTACAGTGGGTTTTAGAAATGCTAATGTTCCAGTTAACATGTGACTGGTGACTGGATAGATCAAATGTTTACAAAAGAAAGGAAAGTATTGAAGGATCAGGAAGAAAGAATTGGTAGAAAGAGCATTAGGGAAAATAAATTAGCTAAGCAAATCCTCACTTAGGAAAGACCTAAAATCTGGCCACTTTGGCCAAAGAGGGTTGGTTTTAGATAGACAGGACCTAGGAAAGGAAATTTATCTGGAGAGAGAACTTGGAGCAATCCAGGGAAGAATCAAACCACAGTTCACAGTTTAGGTAGAGACCAGTTTGTACCTGAATTTGAGAAGTTACACCTAAAGCCCAACGAAGTGGGACAGCTTATGTTCTACAGCTGGAAAAGGCTGCTCTACATACCGGGTTGTGTTTGAATTAAATAACTATATACCTACCTACCTCTGGTATGAGGCTTTGCTTTCTGTAATTGAGTTTATTACAACAGCTGTTTAATAGAAGGTATTCTGGAGAGGAATAAAGATGAGGGTATTTAGTCTTAACCTTCATAAGAATATTTCTCAGTTTCTTGAGTGGCAGCAATGAACACACACTTGGGAACCTTCTTTTTGAGGCTACCTTAAGCTAGTTTCAGCAGAGTCCAAGATAAACTTGCCTTTATTTTCATTTCTTCTCTTCCAACTTAAACCTATCTTTTCTTTTTCTGTTCCTTTTTTTGAAAGAATGTGTTTTTTATTGTTTTTTAGAGAGAGAGGAAGGGAGAGGGAGAGAGACATTGATGTAAGAGCAAGATATCAGTGGCCTCCTGCAAGCCCCCTGCCAGGATTGAGGCCGAAACCTGGGCATGTGCCCTGACCGGGAATTGAACTGGTAACCTTTCAGTGCCCAGGACGATGCTCCAACCAACTGAGCCACACCGGCCAGGGCAATCTTCCCTATCTCTTAAATCTGAAGTTACTACTTGGATCTTTTAAACTCTTATAGACTAATTACCATTTGTAGGATTCATTTAGTAATGAGGCAAGTAATGTTTTGTGACTTCTGTGTTTTCTTCTTGAATAATTATTTACCTTTTTTTAAAAAATATATTTCTTTATTGATTTCAGAGAGGAAGGGAGAGAGAGAGAGAGATAGAAACATCAATGATGAGAGAGAATCATTGATCAGCTGCCTCCTGCACGCCCCCCACTGGGGATCGAGCCCACAACCCGGGCATGTGCCCTTGGCTGGAATCGAACCTGGGACCCTCAGTCCACAGGCAGACGCTCTATCCACTTAGCCAAACTGGCTAAGGCCTTTTTTTCTTTTTTAATCCTCACCTGAGGATACTTTTTGTCATTGATCTTTAGAGAGAGTAGAAAGGAGTGGGGGTGGGAGAAAGAGAGAGAGAGAGATATTAACTGGTTGCTCCTGCTTGAGACCAAGCCCCGGCTGGGGCCAGTGATCAAACCTGCAACCGAAGTACGTGCCCTTGACCAGGAATTGAACCCGAGACCCTTCAGTCCTCGGATCAACACTCTAACCACTGAGCAACCGCCAGGCATTATTTACATTTTTAATTAATCTTTTTAAAAAATTTTAGTATGTTTTTATTATTGACTTTAGAGAAAGAGAGAAACATTGATGTGAGAGGGTGGCATCAATTATGAGATGGAAACCTGGGTATGTGCCCTGACCAGGAATCGAACCAGTGACCTTCTGGTACATGGGAGAATGCTCAACCAACTGAGCCACACCAAACAGGGCTTTAATTAATCTTTTTATACATTCTGTCCACCCTTTCCAACAATGTTATTCGCATTTTTAAAGAGATATTTAGAGGTCTTTAAATACTAATACTTAAGTATAAAGATATTTGAAGAGACTACTTTGTCTTCTTCCACAGTTCACTTGGCATACTCTTTTCAGGTACTCAGAAACTGTAATTAACCCAGACAAAGTACCAATGAGAACCTTCCAAACGCTGAATTATCCACTATGGTGGATAATGTCTGATTAAATATTTGTGACAGAAAAATCTAGGTATTTGTAAAAAACACAAATTCTATTTTGATTTTGGGGGACCTTTTTAACTTTTAAGACTATATTAATACTAGTGGCCCAGTGCATGAATTCGTGCACATTGAAAGGAATTTAATTAGAAGAAATATTTTAATATCACTGTTCACCCTTTCTCTATAATAGAAGTGTCAACCAAATTCACAATTGACAATGACAAAGAGAAACACACGCGTGATATTGGC